TTGGAAGAAGATAAGGATTTCTTAACAAGAAATAGCATTGAATTGACTTTTGAGCTATTGGATAAATCACCATTATACAATTATGCTAGATTTTGTACTAGATTTTATTTTAATCTTTACAGTTTACAATTGCTGAAAAATGCTTCCAAATTAGATATTTTACAAGATAGATTAATAAATTTTATTTTAGATCATTTAGAAGTTATTAGAGAGTTTAGTACTTATGATATAGGTTCTTATCTGGTAAATAATTATCATGGATTTGGTAGTAGTTTTCAGAATCTTAATAAATTAGTTTATAATAATTCCAAGTATAATCCTGTTAGTAATGAGTTTATTGATAAATTAGCAAATATTTGCAAGTGTATTCAATCATTAGAAATATATGGTACATATGAAAATAAACTTGATGATGGTCTGATTCAACTAATTAAAGCTCAAAATCAAATAAAACAATTAGCCATTTATTTAAACATGAATCATACTTTGTCAGATAATTTCAAAAAAGCAATTCTCACACATTCACAATCAATAATTCATTATTCAAGTAATAGATTCAACAATATAGATCATATATTATTACCAACACTTAAAAACTTGAAATTTTTACAATTAAGATCATGGGATGCTTCTTATTGTAGTGACAAATTAAAATGGTTGAAAAATATTTCACAGCCAAATATTGAATCTATGACATTACATATTCATAGGCAACAATTTCTATCAGACTTGTCTGATTTTATTAACACTAATGGAAAAACTCTTAGATATCTGAGGATTAATGGTCATGGAAATGATAATAAATTTTTGGGAAAGCTATTTCAATCAATTGCACAACAATGTAAAAATCTAGTAAACTTATCAATAATTTATAATGATAAAGTAAACCAGGAATTAACAGGAATATTCAATAATTGTATTAAATTAGAAAGCATTAATTTTTTCAAAACTGATTCTAATGATATAGATGGTGATAAAATACTTTCAATACTAAAGCAAACATTACCAAAAAAATTAACATCAATAATAATTCCTTGTAAGTTTTCTACTATTAATGTCGATTTTCTTGATAATCTAATGAAGAATTGGAAAGGATCTAAATCTTTTACAGTAAGGTTCAATTATAATCAAAGATCAGTGAATGTAAGAATTACTTCATAACAATAAAACAATATTATAATGTTTCTTTTTCAAACAGATACTTTAATTATTGTAAAAATACAAGTTATCTTTATTAACTTAAAATAATGTCCTTTATATAATAAAATTACATAGATTGATATAATAATAAAAGATTGATAAAATATAAATAATATAGTCATAATAAATTCTCATCAATCTATCCAGAAGATTTGTGGACATAAGTAAATAATAAATAATAATTAAAGACACAACACAAAATAAATTGATGTTACAAATAACAATAATATCAACTATGTGTCACATCTCCAGATGTAAATATTAATATTTAAATGATGAACTATGCAAAATTGTTGTACATGATTATTATATATGAAGTAAATTGTTACAGTGGATTGATAAAAAATTTAGGATTTTTAAACCAAATCTTTATATTACTTTATCTATCATGTAACTATTGAAAATCCTACCAAAGTTGTAATGTGGTTTTTGAAAAATGACTTTTTTAATTAATAAAAAAGGGGCCAAAACCAAAATTCATGCTGAAAACAAAGTTTGTTGAACTGTGGGTTTGACTGTACTTTACTGTGGCAATTAAAACATGTCAAAGAAGAAATAGTCAATAATCTTCACCTGCTTCATCACAAGCAATGAAAATCTTATTGGGTTAGAGGTTGGCATCATTAACTGTTTAACCATCAATCTTGGTGTTACAAAATTGCATTTATTTTTTTATAATTATTGTTCATCTACATAAATGTGTAATGGTGCTAGAGTTTCCAGCTGCTCTAGAGAGTATCAAGCTTTTCTTTCAACTAATAATACTAATGACAAGCATGACACTTCTTTCACATATGATCAATTTGTACAATAATGTTCATCTTGTGACTTCTTCACCCATAAAGTCCACATTCTCCATTAATCATAACATTAAAAAATAAAGAATGCATCAATTTGTTACCTGAAACTTGGATAAAAGTTTCATCAGAAAACAGGCTTTGTGTGTTTTCATTTTCTTTCCTTTTTTTTTTTTGGCATTTATGTAATCATTAATTTCACACATAATGATAAATAATATTACATTCTTTCATTAGTTCATGCCTCTTAATTAATATTGTGTAACTTTATGAAGAAGCTGAAGATAATGCTTTTGATACCAGTAATACATTTAATGATACAAGAGAAAACTTTGAAAATAATAGAAATATTACCAAGAGATATGTAATAATAATAATAAATCCAAAACTTGAATTATTTTAATGATGGAAATTATAGATGCTACCACCACCCAAGTTAGTCCAAATCCCAAACTACTTTGGACATACTTTAAAATAAAAAAAAATTTTTAATAACATCCAAAATTTTTAATAAAAAAAAAAGATTACTCATTATCACCATTAACATCTTCTTGATTGTACATTGTTTACAATTGATTATATATCAAATTCTGGATTTCCATGTTCAACAACAGAAACTTCAATTTCTAAAACACATTAGAGTTCCTGGTCATCCACATCTATTAATTCCTCAAATGCTAAATGATTTTGATTTATTTGAGATGCAGTCATCATCATCATCATCATCATCATCATCATTTGAGTCAAAAGGGAGGTGTGATTGAATTATGACTTGTTTCATTTAATTCTTGATAAACATTTTTAATTTCATCTTTTGTATTGGAAACATAACATGAATGCATATATGCCATAGTGAACAGTTTGACTGAAAATGAATAATAGTAAATAACATAACTTTATTTATATAAATATGATATTCAAAAATAATTATCTAGTACATGTATCATCCTAAAACCAAAAATATCCTTTCACAACTAGTGTTGTGAGGAGATATTGCTAAATTTTTGAATGTGATTGTTTTGTTGTTTGCACATAATCCACCAGCTTTTTACAGAATGTAATTCAAGAACAATTCAAAATCATATGGTTGAACTTTTAATGAATAATTTGACAATTGTGCAACTATTCATTAGCAGAAGTATCACCATCATCAAGAGCCTTCCAAATCCAAGGTGTTTTATATATTATTCAAAAAGTATTAGTGATCCTTTGTCTAAATTGGATATTGTTCAATTAGATTTAATTGTAATTTTTTTTTTAATTTACATTATATAATATTATAATATTATACTATCAAGCTCATTCCAACATTTATCAAATGCTAATTGACGTTTTCTTTGAAGAGAATAATATCTACACCTTGATAATTGCTGCCAATTAGTGTTATGAGCTTTTCAACCACTCTTGTTCGTTTCTATGGCAAAGAGCATTCCAAACTTGGAATATATGTTGTGCTTGGACGCCCTTCTATATGCTATATTAATCACATGATATTCAGTCCCTTGGTTTATCAGATATCAAAACTTTAATAAAAACGCGTAGATTTTAAAAAAAAAATTTTTATAATGTCGGCAAACAATACATTTAAAACTTTTCAACAACTTTCTCAACAGGTATCTGTACCAATAACTACTGATACTAATGATAACAATAAAAATCAACAACAACAACAAAAACAAGATATTCCTACTGCAAAACAAATACTTCTCAATATTAGAATTCAAGAAAAACAAAAAGAATATGAAAATTTATTAAAGATGAAGAAAACTTCAGAAGAATTGGCAGAATATTTTGATCAATTGGCTTTACAAATTCAACAGTTAAATGAAGGATGTGAAGGTATTTACAACATACATACTACATGTGTACGTGTTTTTTATATAAACGCATGTAACATTCATTATTATTATATAGTTATTGGTAATGTGCTTCGTAATTGGCAGAATGTATTTAACTTTGTTCAACCCGGTAAAATTGTTTTCTCTTTCTTTCTAACTTACAACATTATAATAATAAATAATTTTAAGGTCTAACATATATAAATAAAAATTTTTTTTTAATAAGAAAATATTACAGCTCAAAACTATTCAAAGATCACTTTAAAGAAATCTGATACTTTTAATAATGACATTTTTAATGTATAATTCTATTTATATTTAAATCAATAGAACGAATAATACTAATAAAAGATCGATTATACAAAGATGAAGTAAACATATATATGTATAAGAGAACTTGATAGTAAATTAAAGTTTTAAAATCTCAATTTAGTAAAAAACATTTACCTTTCCTAATTTATATCTTGTTTATAAAGTTTTCTTTAAAGCTTTTTAGTTGATAATCATTGATTTGGTTCTTTGAAACATTCATCATTAACAAATCATTTGATATCATCCAATTCAAAGGTATATCTGATTGGCATTAAATGACTATAATTGATGTTTTTATGAAAGGTTCAACTTTAAAACATTTGGCGATATATTTTAGCACCAATATGTTTTGTCATTTTTAATCTATTCCATATGCTATAGAATGGTCACAGAATATTTCATAGTACCTTCATCAAGGTTTTTTCACAACCAATCATCCAGAATATTTACCAGATGCAACTTTGCATGGTTTCAAGAATTTTACCATTATGATTTATAATTTATAATTTATAATTTATAATTTATAGATGAATATCATCTTTATTTTAAATTTGAAAAAAATAATTAATGATAAATTTGTGAACAATAAAAAAATTATGAATAATACAATTCAAGATTCATTCCATCATTAATTTCATCTAAAAAATAAAAATAAATTATTACTATTATTATATATAAACATATCAACATAAATCATTAATAATGATGATAATTACAATCTTCCAATGTGATATGATTTTTAAAAGTTGTATACCTAAACAATCATCAATAATTGTAAATAATTTATTAATAAATTATTAAAAGTAACAATGATAAATAAAAAATTACTTTACCATTTTTTTAAAATAATTCTTGAAGGATCAGTGCCAGTTTGAGCTGAAATTAATTTCTTTAATTCACCAACTGTGTCTGTTGGACTAAAACCAAACATTAACATCAATGAAACAACAACGATGAAGTTAAAATTTAAGGCTCATTATTAATATTAATATTGTCATTAATATTATTATATACATACTTGCATTTTACACGAACTTTTTTACCTAATCTATCATTACAAATAATCTCAATCATCTCAAAATATATTAATTAAATAAAAAGTCAATATTAATAATAGATTAATATATAACAGAAAGCTCGGTGGGTGACCTGCAACAATTCTAATTATAGTCATACGTATTACCAAATAATATCATCAAAAGAATCAAAAATTGCCAATTATGGCTAAGGATCGAAAGCCATATTAATATATGGAAAATTGCAAAAAAAAACTTATATTTTTTGACCCAAGCAATAATGTGAAGAAGTTTTTTTTTTCAATTTTATTAATAAAAAAAGAAAATTATATTTACAGGATACAGAGGTCACATGAAATTTTCAAAGTAGCTAAATGCCGATCATTTAAAAAATTTTCTCATCACCGATTATTTGTTTGATTGATCCGGGTGCTGAAGATTTTTACCGGATAATATAATATATCAAGTAATAACAATGGCATCCAAAAGAAATTTACCATGGCCATACAATCGAAAAAGAGGTTCCAAAGAATCCATGGATCCGATTGAGATTATTAATAGTGACGGAACCATATCTAAAAATGCACTACGTAAAATGAATATATCCAAGGCACCTGACGTTGTAGTAAATTGTGGTGTAAAAATACGTGGTGGTGATTCTCCCACAACTAATTATATTTCACACTTGATATCTGCTCATGAGATAATTACAAATCCAACATTCGGCGGATATTCGGTGAATAATCGAGTAATCATATCCGAGCGTTGGATTTTATTGATTGACCAAGCACCCAAACACCCAGACAATCGACGGATACAATCACTACATCTTGATATACAGTTATGAATTTTCTTAACATTGGTTTTTAAAAATCTAATTCATCCAAAAGTTGAAGATTGCGATTCCAATTGGAGGTTGTTTTAGCCAGAGAAAATATTTATATATTAGAAACAAATTTGGGTTCTTAAAGCTACGAACAAATTAAAAAAAATAAAAATTTCATCCAACTAGTTAAAAACTGATGAAGTCACATGCATTCAAAAAAAAAATACGATCAGGAAAATTATAATACCTAGTAGGATATCCTTTACTTACGTGGAATGCTATTTAAAAAATTCATTTTTATTTTTAGTCTTCGTCTTATTCTAAGTTTTCCTTCAATGAACCAAATTGAATGACTGTCAAATGCCACTTTTTTTTTGAATGCGTGTGACTTCATCAGTTCTTAGCGAGCTTTTTTCAATTTGTTCGTAAAACATTCTAGATTTTTTAAAAATACTAATGTTAAAAGATGAGTTAAAACTCATAATTATACATTTTGAGCAACTTTTTTACTAGTGCATCAAGATTAGAAAAGTGAAATGAAAATTTAAAATGATCAATATTTTAGTGTACAAGTTTGATTGACTTTGGGAATATGAAATTAAAATTTAATATATATAACTTTGTTACAAAAAACAATGGCTAAATTACTATTAATTTGTATCCCGAAAAGTCTATTTTATATTATGTTGCTCTGATGTCGATCTCCGGGATTTTGACCGGATAATTCACCATTTTTAAAAGTTAAAGATTATTTGCTTATCATAGATTTTTTTTTTTTTTTTATCCTTATTATATGAAAATATTCATGGTGTACTATTATTAGTAGTATCTGAACCTTCCATTGATGAAGAATTGGTTATGTCTTTAAATGCTTCTTGATGGTGGTAGAGGCAAGCATTTCCGATACCACCAGTATTTACAGATATAACTAAATGATATAATATATTTAGTATTATATATATTATATAAATAAAAATACATTCATTATATTAATAATATATATAAATTTTTTGATGAACCACCACCCACTTATTAAAATAAAAAGCCAGGTTGGTGCATCTGGCGAATATATTTTATAAAGATATCTTGGTAATGTAGGAATCCATCTAAAATTTATTATTATTATTATTATTATTATTATTATTATTATATGTAAATTGATTTTTAAACTTATTAGTTTTAAATATTTGTCCTTTACTTACTGAAGAATAAAAATTAAAATGTAGCCAGCTATTTTTTTAGATACATGCGCACGTATTGTTATTTGTCTTTGACCATTTAATAATCTTTGATCTATACTATTAATTTTATAAATTATGCATCCATAGCAAAATGATGATATGAGTAAGGCTAATACCAAGATGATGGTTGTAGAAATTGCATTACCACCTTGAATAGGTTTAGACGAACACCTATTGAATTAATTAACATTAAGTAATCAAACAAAAATTAAAGGGTAGATTATGTATGTAACGGGTAAAAATTAATAATAATAATAATAATTAATTACCAAAATGTGTCAGGACCAACCTTCTTAATACCTGTGGCTGCAATAGCTAGACTTATTATCAATACTGTTAATAATAATTTCCAATCATATCTTCCTAAACTTGGATTTTTCTCTAAACATATTCTTTATAAAATGTATAAAAATAAAACCATCATTATTATTATATTAAAAAAAAATAGGTGTGAGAATTTCAGAATGCTATATATTCTGATAAATGGGAAGAGTGATGTCAGAATTTCATAATCTTTGGTACTACTAAGTGGGAAAAATTTTGCCTTTGGCATGTTATCTTTTATATTTATATATATATTGATTTATTTAAATATGTCTATTTAATTGTTTTAAGTAAAGGTGACAGGCTAACTTTAAATTAACAATAGGTTAATTGGGGCAGGATTACGTGTAAAAAATTTGTAAATATTTAATGATGCATTAAATTTTATATAAATAAACGTGGTTTCAAGGCCTCTTACTTTAGCAAAAAAATAAAAAATAAAAAAATCAATTAAATAAAGTCAACTCAATTTACCTTATATAAGTGTTTATTGAAACCGCGACCACCAATAGAATATTCAAAAGCATAAATAAGAATATAAACGCTCCAAAAACTTCACATGCAAATCCTGGCCAAATGTCACGATAAATTGTCAAATGATACTTTTATTTTAACAAACAAACAAATGAAATTGTTATTAGTATTATTAGTAAATAAAAGTAATGATTGTTATTATTATAGATAGCACTTACAACTTGTGGAAATACATCTGTTAATAATAAGAAATTGCTACACGCGATATAAAATGGAACCTTCAAAGACATTGAGAGTGATTTTACTTTTCTCTGATATATAAAAGTCCAATAAAATACATAAAAAACACCTAATAACAAATAAATTTTTTTGTTTTAATTTTATATTCTGAAAATTCATCATCATCACTTTAATTTAATTTTTTTACCTAACAAGTTTAAATGCGTAAATATTAATGCTGTTATTATACAAACATAATATCCCACAGGGTCATTATTTGGATAAGTTTTTTGATCATCTTGTGAAAAAACAAAATTTATATTACAAAAAAATAAAAGAATAAAAAAATGACTTTTCATTTTTGATTTTTTTTTCTTTAAAAAAAAAAATCGGAGAAAAAATTTGATTCATATTATTATGATATTACTATAATTACCCTAGATTTACTGTTTTAAAGTTAATAACTTTTAATTTAACGCGCGGAGATTGTATAATTGGTAATGATTTTCGTCGATCATATTTTGATTTTATCACGCAAAAATAAATTACATGAAATTTTTAAATACTATCGTTATTAATAAATAAATGTATAAATAAATATTATCCAAAACTATTAATTTAAAATTCTTGACATCCATGTATAGTAATATTAATGAACCAATGACTGAAAATAATAAATCTTGTAAAATTTATACAAATTTCGAAATTTTTAGATCTCATTTAGATTTTGCGGGGTTAACGGGATTATTTTTAACTATATTAAATATATTAATATAAAAATAATTTTTTGTTTCTATTTTAAACTAATTGAATTTGATCATAAAAATCAATAATCGATTTTGTCACATGTGACAATTCAAATGTCCGCCATGCTAAATACAGTCATACCTCCATAAATGCACCCGGAAGGACAACGTGCATCTATGGAAATGTGCATTTATGGATAGGAGCGCTTTCATTGGTTGCACGTGATACACGATATTTTAAATACAACAATACTATGAATTTACATTTTTTACATGATATATATTAACCAATTTCATTTGTTTGTTAGTATTTTCTTTCTGCAATAAAAACGCATGTACAGTTTCAAGGCCTTTAATGCTTCTTTGAGGCTTATTTCATCTTCTCAAAATTGTCAGCAGGTACATTCATTTTTTTTATATATATTTCTGCAAGTTCTTTAATATTTTATCATCCTCTGAAACCTCACAGACAATATTTTCTTCGGGGATCAAATAGGATAAAAGTTCATTTAGTGACACAAAGTCATGAAATTCAATTGGATTATTACATATTGGAAATTATCCAATACCAATCAAATCAAAAAATTTTGCCGAAATTTATCCTATCTATATATATATTAGTTACATGATGAATTTTATACATTGGTCACGTGGGATGCATTTATGGAGAGAGTTTTCATGAGAGTGGACTGAAAAGATACCGCACAGTGCAGAGCATGGAGGGTGTGTATTTATGGAAGGTGCATTTATGGAAGTCTGACTGTAATGTTAAATTACGTAAAACTGTGCCCAAACAAGATCAATAAAATTTGTGGCTTTGCAGAATATTTTTATAGCACATAACAATTTTAAGCCACAATCGAAATCCTTTATAACTAACGCGCGTGTTAACAAAGAAAAAATAATAAAATAAAATGAATCCCAGTCCGTATGTTTTTGTTGTAGAAAATAATAATTGGTAATAATTTCAGTAATTCCAATAATTATAGTTCATCATCATTAATATATATTAATATCATTACCATGTTATTATTACTATTATTATTAGGCCATCATGTTATCCAATAATTTATCATGATATTGATGTAGATATAAGTGATAAAAGAGGACAACAACTTTTAAAGAGATCGTATTTTTTATTTAAATGTAATATAATCAACAAATTCTTCATGATGTGTGATTTGCCGGAAAAAAAATAATTCTAATAATAAAACAATTGATTTTTTCTTTAAAGTGTATTTCTTTACATTATTATCTCATATTTTTGCAAATGTTACACTTGCAATAATTCATTTGGATGGATTCTCGATAGCAGGGGAGGTTACAGCTTCAGTAATTTATTTAATATTAATACCAATTGGTGATTTCTTTGCTCGTCATTTAAGTCTCTATAATGGATACAGGTAATTTAATTAATTACTTTATCTAATTATCTAATTAACTTAAAGTTATTATTAACAATTAATTATTATTACTATATTACTAATCAAATTGTTTAGATATCAAAGCAAAGTAAATTTTATTTTTTATTTTTTAGGTGAACTTGTTGTAATTTTATTTGGTGTTTTTATAAGTTTGGGGGCATTAAGTAATGGAAGCAGTGGTGTGCTTGGTATTGTATATTTGATTGATCAAAAGTACTACGTTGCATCAGCCTTGACAATAATTTTTCTTACAATGGTTTTAATTCAAACAATCTTACATATTATTTTAACAATTCAAGTAAATATCAAATTGCATTATAATTATTATTTCAATATAATAACTATAACTAACGTATAGTTGATTTTATTATTTAGGTTTATAATCATTACAAAAGTTTGGAATCAAATTCATTTTTTTCACTTAATAATAACGTTGGTAGTGGTAATGATGGTAGCAGTGGTTTCATAATTGTTGGAAGCGTCATTAACAATCCCAATCCTAATACTGGTGGTCGTGATGGCTTTACCACTGCTGGTTACACGCTTGGCAGTGGTCGTCGTGTTAGTAGCGGAAATTAACGATTAATTCGTAAAAGTAAGTGTACCCTGCAATTAGTAAAGTTGGGTATCATCATCATTAAACCTAAAATTCGTTTACTAACATTAATAATGATGATAGATATATTAAGTAATGTAATACAAAATACTTCAAACTTTAAATATATTAACCTTTGATTAATCGTACATTCGAAGATAGTAGTAATAGCAATAGTGAAATTGAATTAGAGTGCGAAATTCCTTTTAATTGTCTAATTTCATTTTCATACATCAAAATATGTGAATTTCAAATAGACTATATAAAATAACCCTTAAAGAATAGTTTTTATTACTTTTGTAAAAACAATATAATATATAAAGCTTTAATATTTTTGGTGTAACCGATTTATTATCTCGTGGTAGGGTGTCCAGGATTTTATGCCCTGATGCTTTTTTTTTTTTCATAATTTCCGACCAAAAATTAATATTCAGAAAAATTAAAAGAAAAATATCTTTCGACATCAACACTGGACACAGGAAGTTTCACCAACAGTTATACTAATCATTTTATTTTTTATTAAATTTTTTAATTTCT